AGTTAAAAATTATTTGTCGTTTTTGTCGAGAGATGTACAGGGTGAGATAAAAAACTACAACAAATTCAAATGCCATAATTTTAACATTTTTTTAAATTTTATTGAATGAAAGCAAAAAATTTCGGAAATAGCATCAAATTTTAGAATAAGTTTAGCTTCGTTCGAATTGGTCACCTTTCGCACGAATTTTGGCCTTCAAACGGCCAAAGAAACCGTCACACGCTTCCCGAATGTTGATCTACGGTATTTTAGCCCATTTCCGGCGCTTTCAAGCGCTTGCTTGAGGTAATCGACACTTTGGTATTTTATAGTGCCAACCTTGCTTTCTAAAACACTCCAAACACAATAGTCCAACGGATTCATATCCGGAGATTTTGGTAGCCATTGTGCGCTGAAAATGAAGCAAGGAACCTCTTTTTGAAGCGGGGAATTATTCTTGGGTGGCGCGTGCTGAGTCCTGTTGGAATGTCCAAGGTCTGCGGCCAAAATGTTTGCTCGCCCAAGGCTTTAATACACCCTCAAGAATATTTTCGCGATAATATTCGACATTTTTTCTGATGCCACGGTCGATTAATACGAGCAGAGAGCGACCATCGGCTGTTGTGGCGGCCCACACCATCACCATGGCCGGCGCTTGAGTTTTGGTGGCCAAGCGAAGGTGCACATTTTCAGCTGACCTCTTTGACAAGTAAACACGATAACTTTGTTTGTTTTCAAACTGCTAGACAACGAATATTTTCTCATCGGAGAAGACCAAATTCGGCAGTTCGCAACTTTCGGCCAAGCCAAGGAACTCTTTAGATCTTTTGAATCTATTTTCTTTCTGTTGCGGTATAAGTTCTTGCACTTTTTGGAATTTCAATGGCTTTACCCCGAGCTCAATTTTCAATATTTGCCAAAAGGAATATTGCGGTATGTTCAGCTCACGAGCCATTGCTGCCACTTGCGGCCACTGCGACGCGGGTTTCGATCAAGTCGCTTCTTTACTTTTCGAACCAATTCTGCTGATGTTGCTGTTTTCTCCGTCCACTTCCTTGACGTCGGGCTACGCTGCCAGTATTACGATAACGAGCGATGGTACGAAACACAAAAAATTTATTCAAATTTGAGTGCTGGAGTGCTCTAACGATAGCCACTTGTGGTTTTCCAGCCAAATATAAAGAAATCACACTATCACGCTTGACTTTTGACTTTTTTTCTGGAAAATTCTCACCAAAATGCTTTTGTACGCTTGTAAACAATATAATGAGCTGTCACTGTCGGACGACTGGCTTATGTATATGTTCTTGATCAGCATAATATTCTATGTCGATTAAGCGATGTCCGTCCGTCTGCTTCCGACCGAAATGAAGTAGGCTTAAAAAATTTTACTCAAATGTATATTATGTCTGCAGAACTTTTGGTATTGAAAATGGGCCATGAAGGTCAACGTTTTGGTATAGGCCCCCATGTAATGGTACCTTCCTCTTTTCGGTATTTTGATGATTTTAGCGTCATTATTCACCGGAATTGTTTCAAATTTGGTATTTGAAGTTCGTAATGGATACTGCAGCCTCAGACAGAAAATTGTCTGTGCAGGTTCACGTCTTCGTATAACCCCCATTTAATAGTACCTCCCTAATTTCGGTATTTTGATGATTTTAGCTACATCATTACCGATTTTTTTTAAGTTTCGCATTTGAATATTGTAATGGTTTATAACAAAACTTGCATATGCGGGTACACGTCGTCGTATAAACCCTAACTGCTATATTCGGTATTTTTAAGATTTTAAAATAATTTTTAACGGATTTTATTTTTTTGAAAATTGGCCAAATTTGTTCCAAATGGTGGAGGGTATTCAAAGTTCGGCCCGGCCGAACTTACAACTTTTTTACTTGTTACCATTTCAGCGCTATATTTCAACGGATTTTTTTTTTTTTTTTTTGATAAGTGTACTTTTATCCTATGTCATTGGTATAGGGCGGAAAGTGTGTATAGAATATGAACTCTGAAATGTTCGTGTGTTATTTTTCATTTCAATATTATTTAGTTATCTTATATTGGAACAACCATGTTCTACTACTTGGCATTTAAACCATACACCTTGTCGCACATTTCCTCACAGACTCCTAAAAATCCTATTTCACTCAAATCACCTGTCACTGCTGGGTTTATGAGACGTTTGTCTCTTCGAAATTTGTATGACATTGTGCTTTATAGTCCAGCATTTTATGCACAACAATTGACCTTTTGATATGCCATATAATATTCTTAATGTAGGAAATATGAAAATAGCTTTGCGTTTGAAGAGGGTTATGACATAAGATCTAGAAATTTATATCTGCAAGATATTTAAGGTAGTTACTACAATTTAATTTTCAAATGGACTTTTTATCGGATTTTCATCAGTTTTCTATTTTTGGAATGTGCTATGAAGAGATCAACCTCAAACTTCTTATTGCTTGGCACCCAGATCTGCAACTCTTCTTTTGTAACCCTCCTACGACTGACATTCGTTTTCTTCTCCATATATGACTACTTGTGGAGATTATATGGTCACATCAAAATACAAACACACCATGTACCAAATATATAGACTCCCATAGCCACTCAAATCAAACACATATACACACACTCGCACATACATACATGTGAACATATCAAACAATTTGTTTTGTAAACCTTACCTACAGAATTGGTCACAGTGTCAGAATTGTGGTCAATTGTTAAATGACAATAGACTAACGACCATAATGTCATTTCAGACTTTCCATAATTGTGCGTAGATATGTATGTTTATTATATGCATGTATTGGTGTTGGTGTAGGTGAATATAAATCCCAACATACCAAATAGACTTGAGAATAATATTTTAATAAGCTTTCAAAAATAAGCCTTAAGCTTGAGAAAATCTTGAGAATGTATTGAGAAATGCTTGTTTAACAATTATAGAATAATCGAAAGGGAACCCTTATTCATAAGCTTATTCTTGTAATTGCAGAATAAGCTTACGAAAGTAATATTATATCAAGCTTATTTTTTCAATGGTATAAAATATTTATTTTTTAATTATTTTACACATTTCATTCATTGATCGCCATCCCAGCTGTCGCTGCCTCCTGTTGCATTGATACCTAGATGATTTCTTTCCCCTTATTTGAGCTTCCGCATCTCCTCCACTAATTCTTCACTTCTCTTGAATTCTTGCAACTTTTTGACGCCTCTATTCTGAAATGAGATTGAAATAATATACACTACAGATTCTCAGATTTATTATTCATCATTACCTTAGAGTTTCGTCCAGAAATGGGTCTTAAATTCGCGTGATTTTGATTTTAACCAAAGAAAATATTTTTTTGTCGACAATTTTCACAAAAAAAAATCAAAACAAATTTGTCAACAAAGGACAGATTTGAGAAAAGTTTGTGCAAACAAGTTTTTCTCTTGCATTGTTGAGGAATTCTTACGATAAACAATTTTCATAATATTATTCTCAAGCTGTATTGTATTTTTGGTATGTTGGGATGTCCTTTCTGGATTTCCATTTTTTTATGTTTGTATTTGTCTACGTATTCATGATCAACCAACACATTGGGACAGTGGAAAGGTAAACATGTCAAGTGTTGTTGGTGTCGTTGGTGGTGGTAGGTCAAGTATGAAAATCTTTAAGCTCATGGAATCTTTGAGAGTAAGATTTATTTTTAACAATAAAGTAAAATGAAGAAATTGGAAGAAAAATCAGGAAGATTCAATAGAAAATTAAAAAAAAAAATATTATATCTACCTTCAGAGAATTATCCCTGTTAAACCTTTTTTTCGGTGCATCGACATTTGCTAAGGAATAGTCTGAAAGTCGATGTCGAGTTATGCTTGTAGTAAAAGTAATAAAGTCCATTTTACTATCGCCAACTCAACCCATTATAATCCAACTCATTCTCAATTCCTGGCTTTCTCTCTCTCTCACACACACTCTTTTTATGGCAACTATGACCAGCGATGCCAACTTAGTGCTTTTCGCGCTATTTATGGTGCTTTTTAGACCCCCTAAAACGCCAAAATAGTGGGCATAGCGCGAAACGAAAAAAAAGCACTGTACGTACGCTTTTCATCTTTTCTGTTGGTGCTTTTAGCGCGTTTTAGATTTTTAAATATGACAATGTTTATACATTCGAATATTTTGAATGTATGACATCTACTTGTCGCAAGTTCTTTACTACAAATTCTTTACGTCTCATTCCTGTCATTGAACTTCTTTTGTTTACTCTTTTTTAATAAACCATAATAAAACGAAGAATTTTGTGTATTATAAACCAATTGAAGGAAAAGTGAAATGAACGAGAAAAAAAACGTAAGTTTATACATGGCTGCTTTGTTGTACGAGTTTACAAAACTTCAACTGAATTTGAAGCTATGGGTTTTATGGGTGAACATAATTGTTTGTAAAAATGTATATGTCTGCAAGTTTTAACCACATGTAAAATGTTCCTAATATATCATATTTTTTTAAAAATATGTATGTACTTATATACATGAAATATTTATATGTTGTTGTTGATTTAAGACACATTTTTCAATGGAATTGTCTGCAATTCTACACAAGGAGTTCTTTGTGAGTACTTTACCCCCTGAAATAGAATTGTCGGTAAGGTCCACAATATCGTATATCCTCAATATATCGGCATCTTCCGATATTGGGTATTTTTGTTGATTTTAACAGAATTTTTAATGGCCTTTTTTTTTTGTAAATTTCCTAATTCGTTTTAAATGGTGGAGGTTATTCAAAGTTCGGCCCGGCCGAACTTACTGCTTTTTTACTTATTTAAAAATATGTATACGCTTATATACATGAAATGTTTATATAAGATACGATCTAAATTTTTTAATAAAACAGTATTTAGTTTAAAAAAAGTGTTTTATTGACAATTTTGGTTAGAAAAAAATGCATAGCGCTTTTTACGCTTTTTTAAGGAAAATTTTTACGCCATTTACGCTTTTCTGGTTTTTAATTACACTTTTAGCTCTCAAAATGTTGGCAACACTGACTATGACCAGCCGTATTATCTCTTGATTTGTATTTGCTGTTGATTAAGAATGGCGAGAGAGTCTCTCACCACTACTAAAGCCTCTATTTTGTGAGCACCATTGTTTAAAAATCATATTTTAAGAAGATTTGGTGGAAAAATTTCCTCAACATCAGGTAAGTATTCTCCTCTGATCTATTTCTACATTACTTAACCCATTTTGCTCCTCTGTTCGATTTTTCGAATTAGAGAGGGTGTACAAAATACTTTGTCAATACTTTTGAGTGCGATTGAGGCGCTGGGAAAATGTAGCAATAAAAGATAAATGTTCTAAAATTAAATATTTCCCAGCCGCCATAAAATATCACATATGAAGAATTCGGTGATCTTGTGCGCTGACGCATACGATAATGTGAGAGATAATAAAGGTTATGACCCACACGCACATATATCGATGCGCTCAGTAGATGCACAAGACCACTTGAATGAGATGTCAAGCAGCCCTGCAATGTTCTCCATTCAATATTAGAATAGATAAGAACAATTGTGTGGCTACGACTAGGTTAGTTAGATTAGTTTCAGTAGCACTTAAGAAACATATTTTTTAAATAAAATCAGAATTGAAATAACACACAGACGAAGCGGTCGTGTTTCTATTCTCAACAGAGGGTATATACCATTTGATACGACCAAAACGTGCCTCTTCGACATAAAGGTTTTAGACCCTAAGTCTCTTTGACCAAATCCGTTTCAGGATATTTGGAGTCGATCTAGCTATGTCCGTCAGTCTGGCTGCCTGGCTGATGCCACGATAACTCTCGAAGGAAGTATCCGATTTGGTCCAAACTTAGCACATCGTAATATTATTATCAAACTTATATGGAGTTCGGAGATGAGCAATATCGGTCCACTCCTTTGGTGCCAAATGGAATATTGCGATATGTTCAGCTCACGAGCCATTTTTCGGCCACTGCTACGCGGGTTTCGAGCTAGTCGCTTCTTTACTTTTCGAACCATTTCTGCTGATGTTACTGTTTTCTTCCGTCCCCTTCCTTGACGTCGGGCTACGCTACCAGTATCACGGCAACGAGCGATGGTACGAGACACAAAAGATTTGTTCACATTTAAATGCTGGAGTGCTCTAACGATAGCCATTTGTGGTGTTCCAGCCAGATATAAAGAAATCACATTATCACGCTTGAATTCCATCACGAATAACTTTTTTTCTGGAAAATTCTATCCAAAATGCTTTTGGATGCTTGTAAACAATATAATGAGCTGTCACTGGAATAATTTTAACAGCTGGCGGACGAGTGAACTAGAAATGACAGCAGTCTGAAGTTGGTTGCAGTTTTTTTCATTTCACCCGTATAGTAGAATCACCTTTTTCCCCCAAAACCGAATTGTACCAAATTTAGTACCATTTGCTGCACTTAGTGCACATTTCCAAAACCACCTCCTTACTTAAACCCCATTTCCATGAATTGATTCTCATTTTATTGCTTTAGGCACACGTATTGTTAGAATTTCAAAAAATCTTTTTATTAACTAAACAACATGAGAGACTCCCTGCATATTTAGGATTTCTAGTTCTATCTTTCCTGAATTAAAAAAGTTTATACTATTTAGTACTTTTCGTACCTTTTAGTACGTATTTCCAAATGCACCGCCATGTACGTTTCCAGCCGCACAAAGGGTAATCCTAGTGTCAAATTTAAGACTTCCATATTTCCAAATCCACCATCAAATCTCAACCCTACTCACTAACAGTGATCCTAATGACATATCAGATTTCAAGCAGCATCCGTTCAAACAATATCAAATTTAGTGAAGAATCTTCTAGGAAAGCAACCACACTTTTTACACCAAATTTTCACCCATCTCAATATCATTTTCTGACACAGGCCTGCCTCTAAGCAATAGCTAAGTAGTCACAATTTGGTAACAATTTATATGCATTGTTTTTGGGAGATTTTCACTTCAATTTATGTCTTCAACATTTTTTTTTTTTTCAAGAACTCACGTATTGACCTCTCTCATTATACCTTATAGAACCGATAGTACGTCAATTATTATATTTATTCGTCATTCAAACATTTCTTCGAAACTAACTTCAAACTTCCAACATAGCAAATTTACATTCCACATTAAAATTATCTTCATATCTCAAATAGATATCAATAGTGTTAATTTAATTCGTTCCAAACAGTCAAGGGTAGAGAGAGAGAACATTGATATCATGGCATATGTCAACATTATTCCCAGCAATGTATGCGTTTAACCATCTCAAGTCTAGGACAATCACACAAAAAGTCTGTCTGTCTGCCACATAGGTTGGTATGTAGACACATTTCTAAATGATTGAGTTCTTCTTCAAAGGCCAAACCTATGGCAACCCAAACTCAAAAGACAAAGACATGCACACTCTCACACACACACACACATTTGCATAATTTCCAGCCATAGTTTTGTCCATTAAATATAGCCTAACCACAAATAAGGATAACAAGAGAAATCATTTAGTTGCCATTTAAAATGTTGATCTCCAGACTGGATGAGCCGTCGGACTAGTCGGCCTTTTCAAGTAGTCAACATCATCACTAACGTCGTCGTCGTCATCCACAACAAACCCAGAAATAATGACACATTCAACTTTTAGTACAACAACAACAACAGATTCAGATATCCGACACTGAACGAACATGTCCACAGAACAGAAATAATGCTAAACACAGAATATTTCCCAAAAATGTTTCAAATTTAGTAATTTTTGATTAGACTTCTGTCATGTCTAAATGCAGCTTAACGTTTGGCAAAATAATTCCCCAGGCATCTTTGCAAAAGCAATAGCCTAGGGAATTACATTCTGTGGGGTATGAGGCATTCAAGGAAAAAAAGTCTTTATATAAAAGACATCGGGTCTACATATTGGAGATAAATAAATCTTCGCTAAGAAGGCTTAGAAGTATTCTAAATCAGGGCAGATATGTCTTCTCTTAGAAAGTAGCGGATCTTCCCAGAGAAGACTTCATGGTCTTCCATAAGACGACCACATGATCTACTAGGAGAAGACCTAATAGTCTTCTAGGAGAAGACTTCATGGTCTTACAGTAGAAGACCTCATGGCCTTCTGGGAGAAGACCTCATGGTCTTCCAGGAGAAGACCTTAGAGTCTTCTAGGAGAAGACCCCTTGGTCTTGTAAGAGAAGACTTCGTGGTTTTTCAGGAAAAGACCTCATGGCCTTCCAGGAGAAAACCTCATGGTCTTCCAGGAGAAAACCTCATGGTCTTCCAGGAGAAGACCTTATGGTCTTCTAGGAGGAGACCGCACCATGGTCTTCTAGAAGAAGACCTCAACGTCTTCTATGAGAACACCCCAAGATCTTCTATGAGAAGTCCTCAACAAGGTCTTCTATGAGAAGTCCTCAACAAGGTCTTCTATGAGAAGTCCTCAACAAGGTCTTCTATGAGAAGTCCTCAACAAGGTCTTCTATGGGAAGACCTCAACAAGGTCTTCTATGGGAAGACCTCAACAAGGTCTTCTATGGGAAGACCTCAACAAGGTCTTCTATGGGAAGACCGCAACAAGGTCTTCTATGGGAAGACCGCAACAAGGTCTTCTATGGGAAGACCTCAACAAGGTCTTCTATGGGAAGACCGCAACAAGGTCTTCTATGGGAAGACCGCAACAAGGTCTTCTATGGGAAGACCGCAACAAGGTCTCCTATGGGAAGACCGCAACAAGGTCTTCTATGGGAAGACCGCAACAAGGTCTTCTATGGGAAAACCGCAAAAAGGTCTTCTATGGGAAGATCTTCAGCTCTTCTATGAGAAGATCTTCAGCTCTTCTATGAGAAGATCTTCAGCTCTTCTATGAGAAGACCTTCTCAGCTCTTCTATGAGAAGACCTTCTCAGCTCTTCTATGAGAAGACCTTCTCAGCTCTTCTATGAGAAGACCTTCTCAGCTCTTCTATGAGAAGACCTTCTCAGCTCTTCTATGAGAAAACCTTCTCAGCTCTTCTATGAGAAGACCTTCTCAGCTCTTCTATGAGAAAACCTTCTCAGCTCTTCTATGAGAAGACCTTCTCAGCTCTTCTATGAGAAGACCTCAACGTCTTCTATGAGAAGACCTCAAGCACTTCTATGAGAAGACCTCAACAAGGTCTTCTATGAGAAGTGCTCATGCTCTTCTATGAGAAGAGCTCATGCTATGAAGACCTCATGGCATTCTCAAGGCCTTCAATGAGAAGTCCTCAAGGCCTTCTATGGAAGTCCTCAAGGCCTTCTATGAGAAGTCCTCATTCTCTTCTATGAGAAGTCCTCAATCTCTTCTATGAGCAGTCATCAAGGCCTTCTATGAGAATACCTCAAACTCTTCTATAAGAAAACCTCATTGTCTTCTATGAGAGGACCTCAAGCTCTTCTGTGAGAAGAACCATTGGTCTTCTACGATAAGAACAGCATAAGAAGATCTATTGGTCTTCAGTGAGAAGACCTTTCGATAATACCTTTTTATCTTCTTGGGAAGACCTTTTGTAAGACAAGGATGGATTTGTCCATAGCTCTCCAAATATCTTTTAACTCATATTTTTTTGTTTGTATCCTTGTCAGACCTGTAATGAGTGGCCGGTCAATTTTATCTATATAATTTTAATGCCAATTTAATAGAGTTTCTCTGTTAACTGATATTGTGGCTTATTCTGCATCAAAAATATATTTTTTTTATTTCGGAGAAACGTGTGTGTCATTTGGTTTCTGTCGCCTATTAAATTTTCTTGTTGTTGGGTCAAAGTTGTTACTGGCCAGCTCACTCTCTCTCTCTCTGTCCCTCTCTTCCCCGCTCTCTCTATACCAATGTGTTGCAATGACATTGCAACTGATGTTGTGGTCCTTAATGTCATTTTTGATATTTTGCAAGGCCGACAGCAAGCAGTCATCCGACTAGCTAGCCAGCTAGTCGTCCTGTCCGGCCTGCTCGAACAACAGTAGTTTTACATTGAAATCGATTAACTTGCTCACATTTCCTTAATAGAACATATCAAATGTCTAAAATAGGCCGAAGGCTTTAACATTATTTTCATTCGTTTGTCCGTCCGTCCGTCCGTCTGTCGCTCTGGTCCTTCTGCTGCAGCAGACATGTGGTGTTGACAATTTTTACAATATTCGTAATTTAAA